TATTGGGGCTAGAACTCAGGGTCTGGGTGCTGTCTCAGCTTTTTCATCAGGCAAGGCTGTGTAGATTCGAACTAAGGCTGTATAGCTTAAGAGCGTGGGCTAGATATTTCTTGTTACTCCCGTCAACCTCCAACCTCCTTTCCACCTGCCCTGCAGGCAACATGTTCCCACCACTTCTGCAGATTCCTCTGCCTGAGAGCCTCCTGTGCACCCTGCTAAAGGAAGAGCAAAAGGGTCAGGAGGGAGTAGAGTGGGCTTGCCGTCTTGATTCCCCAGTTCCCTCCTTTGGAGACTCTTTAGGCTGCCTGTGTCCAACTGAAGATCTCTCCTCCTGCCAGGGCCCTGTCTGCACACTCCTTCCAGGGCTCAGTACCAATGTCCACCTCTACTCCTGCAGGCCCAGGTCAGGTGGCCCTGGGAGCACCTCCCTGGGGTATTATGCTGTCCCTAATGGTCTTCTTCCCCTTTCCTGTGCCTTGGTGAAAATCCCTTTAATCAGCCTACATATCATCCAGTCCCTGCCACCTCTTCCCTCCTGGGATACTGCCAGTATCGGTCACTAATGGGACCAACAGGGCCTCTCTCTACAGCTAGTTATCCTCCCTCCTCCTGCTCCTCCTGCTCCTCCTTTTCTTCCTCCTCCTCCTCCTCCTCCTTTTCTTCCTCCTCCAGCTCCTTTTCTTTCTCCTCCTCCTAGCTGGTGTGTCTGTTCTAGTCCTATGAGAAGCAGGCACAAAGACCAGATTAGACATGCACAGAACATGTCAGGGATCCCATGAAAGATGAAGGGGAAGGTGTCTCTTGACCACAGTATAGGAAGTAGACATGGGAGGGTTGGGTAGAAAGGACTGCAGAGTGGCTTGAGAGAATCTCAGTCAGATTGGCGAAGAGCCCCCAAGCCAAAGTTGTCTATTGGAAGTTTAAATATCTTCTCCCAGAAGGCTTATGTGTAGAAGACCTCATCCCTAGCTGGTGGCACTGTTGGGAAGTGATTGGATGGCGAGGGCATGATCGATGGATTAAAACCCATTGATGATGGGGCTGGGAAGGTGGCTCAGTGGTAGAGTGCTTGCCTTACATGCATGAGGCCCGGGTTTGATTCCTCGGCACCACATAAGCAGAAAAAGCTGGAAGTGGCGCTGTGGCTCAAGTGGTAGAGCACTAGCCTTGAGCTGAAGAGCTGAAGGACAGTGCCCAGGTCCAGAGTTCAGACACCATGACTGACAACAAATAAACAAACAAAAACCCATTAATGAGTTCGTAGCTGAATGCACTGTGCTGTTAGAAGGTGGGGGCCTTGCTGGAGGAAGTGGGTCACTGTGGAGTGCCTTTAAAGAGTATATCTTGGGCTGGGAATGTGGCTTAGTGGTAGAGCGCTTGCCTAGCATGCATGAAGCCCTGAGTTTGATTCCCCAGTAGTACATACACAGAAATAGCCAGAGTGGCGCTGTGGCTCAAGTGGTAGAACGCTAGCCTTGAGCAATAGAAACTCAGGGACAGTGCTCAGGCCCTGAGTTCAAGCCCCACAGCCAACAATAAGATAAAATAAAGGGTATATCTTACCTTGAACACCCCCTTGCCCCCTCCCTTACTCCCGCCACAACAGCTCTACTCCACTACCCGCTCACTGTCCCCAGGCTTCTGCCTCCCTAAAAGAAATGGATCCCCTTAACCATGACTGAAACCCTGAATGGGAATCAGTATCTCTTCCTTCAAGTTGCTGGTCTCAGGTATTTTGTTACAGAGATGAAAAGCTGAGGAACACAGAGGAGCCCCGCATGTCGTAAGAATGAGAGTCATCACTGAATCCCTACATCCCTCAGAACTGGCTGGAGCAGCAGGGGAAGCAGAGCCTCCGAGCAAAGACCCAGGGCAGCTGCAGGGCTGGCCGCTAGCCATGCCCCCCCCCCCCCCAGGCATCAGGCTTTCTTCAAGGAGAGCCGAGCAATGTGCCTTGCTGTGGCCCTCCCCAGTTCATAGCTAGGCAGTGGGCAGTGGGTGCCAGCTCTGATGTCTCACATTCAGTGTGCTCTGTCCCTCAGAAGCAGGCCAGCTGTGGTGACCTGCTTTCCTCTTCCTCCTCTAGGTACCGGAAACTCGCCCTGAAGAACCACCCGATGAAGACAAATGAGTCAACTGCAGCAGATACATTCAGACAAATAGCAGAAGCCTACGACGTGCTGAGCGACCGTGAGTGATGATGGGGCCGAGCCACTTTAGGGGTGACTGTCCCCCACCCCTCCAACTAAAATCATTCCTGATATCTCTGGGGGTGGGGGACCCTAGAGTATGCATCTGACTTCCCTGCTTGGAATCTAAAGAGAGAGACCATAGTAAAATATATGAAGAAGCCATCATTTAAGACCACTGTTGAAAGCCCAAGAGTTAGGCTGATTGTACACCTTGCCAGGAACAATCCCTTCACAGAAGTAGAGTGCATTTCTCTCCCTCCTCTCCTGCCTCCTATGGCTCATGGATGAGGAACAAAGGCTGATGCTGGCCATGCACACTTGGCTGAGGCTGAGCAGACACACACTCATCCTTCCCAGACTGACTGAGTGACTGAGTCCCCATGTCCCCAAGGGCAGAAGAAGGCCAGAAGTCATTAAGAAATCTCTTGCCCCCCAGCACCAGTCAGTGTCCTGGTAGCTTCCTGAGGGCTTGTCCTGAGGCTGTTACCCTGGATCCGGCACAGAATGGCTAGAAGATTTAGGAGACGTCCAGCCCTGAGTTTTCACACTTCACGGTCCTCCGATTCTAGTCCAAAGCTCTAGAATTCTTAGACTCCAAAATATCCAGACTTTAGGATTCTAAATATCCACAGGGAAGATGGCAGTTATATTGTTTTGTGCTGGTCCTGGTGCTTGAACTCAGAGCCCAGCCACTTTCCCTGAGATTTTATGCTCAAGGCTAATACTTTACCACTTGAGCCACAGCTCCACCTTCAACTTTTTGATGATTAGATGGAGATAAGAGTTCATAGACTCTCCTGTGCCGGCTGGCTTCACACCAAATATTCAGGTTTTAGCCTCCTGAGTAGCTAGGATTACAGGCTCCTGAGCCACTAGTGCTGGCTGGCTTAATGAATACTGAGTTAAGCCAAACCCCAGGCCAGTAGCCTAGCTTAACTTAGTCTCTAAATTCCTTTCTCCACTGAATCTGTTTCGCTAGTGAGCTCATTCTGGCTTAACCCAGAGTGAAACTGAACTTCAAACTTCTGGGATCATGGTCCTGATACTGGTAGGCAGCAGGCATTGGGGATTGTTCCATCCCCTTCCCCATGCTCTCCCGTCCCCCATCTATCTTAGCCCCCAAGACTGGACCCCCTCCTCAAAGTCACACGTACCCACAGCTGTGAAGAGAAGCATCTATGACAAGTTTGGAGAAGAGGGCCTAAAAGGTGGCATCCCTCTGGAGTTTGGATCCCAGACCCCGTGGACAACTGGCTATGTCTTCCACGGCAACCCTGACAAGGTGTTCCATGAGTTCTTTGGAGGAGACAACCCCTTCAGTGGTAAGAGACCTGCTCTGCCCTGGCCTTACCAAAAGGGACACAGTTGTAAAAGATGCTTTTCTCTGAGTAGTGTTTTTTGTTTGCTTACTTGTGTTCTGTTTCTGGGGCTTGTCCTGGGCACTGTCCCTTAGCTTTTTTTTTTTTTTTTGTCGGTCATGGGGCCTGAACTCTGGGCCTGGGTGCTGTCCCTCAACTCTTCAGCTCAAGGCTAGCGCTCTACTACTTGAGCCTCAGCCCCACTTCCAGCTTTTTCTGCTTATGTGGTGCTGAGGAATAGAACCCAGGGCCTCATGCATGCAAAGCAAGCACTCTACCACTGAGCCACCTTCCCAACCCCTGTCCCTTAGCTTTTTGCTCAAGGCTAGCACTCTACCACATGAACCGCAGCTCTACTTCTGGTAGAAGTAGAACCACTTTGGTAGTTAATTGGAGATAAGAGTCTTGCAGACTTTCATGCCTTGGCTGGCTTTGAATTATTCAGCTTCCTGAGTAGCTAGGATTATAGGTGTGAGCTATTCGGACTCTGCTGTTTTCTCCCAATTTTAAAAAATATGCACAGTACTTCTAAAAATAAAACAAAAGGTAAGATAGATTTTATTGATAAAAACCCAATTCCAGTCTTCCATTTTCTTCCCCAGAAGCATTTTCATGCTGTTAAGTTTACAAAGGCTTCCAGAAATTTCCTGTGCCTTGATAGACATATATTTATTTTTTACCTAAACCCTTTATTTTCTTCAGGAAATGGGATACATTGAACACACTGGTGTGTGTGTGTGTGTGTGTGTGTGTGTGTGTGTGTGTGTGCCAGTACTAGAGCTTGAACTCAGGGACTTGTGTACTTGTTTGCATTTTTCTGTTCACAATTGTAGCTCTACCATTTGAGCCACATCTCTACTTCTGATTTTTTGTTGTTTGGTTTGTCTTTGGACTTGTCTGCCTGGGTTGAGTTGTGATCTTTAGATTTCAGTAGCTAGTTAATTGGAGATAAGTTAATTGGGTGTCAGTGGCTTATGCCTATAAGCCTGGATAATCAGGAGGCTGAGATCTGAGGATCAAGGTTTGAAGCTAGCACAGGCAGGAAAGCCTGTGAGATTCTTGTCTCTAGTTCGCTAGCAAAAATCCTGAATTGGAGATATGATTCAAGTCATAGAGCACCAGCCTTGAGGGAAAAAGCTGAAACAAGGCTATGGCCCTGAGTTCAAGCCCAGTACTGACACAAAAACAGAAACAAAACTAAATTTTCCTGTGCAGCCAAATTTTCCTAACTCAACTACAGGCTAGTTACGGCAATGGACCATTGGTTTGGCCTCTCTGGGCCCTGATACATGGGAAGCTCTTTTTATGCATTTCGGCTGCTCTTTACCTTTTTGTTGATTAGTTTTCTTGAGGCAGGACCTTGCTATAGAGCTCTAGCTGGTCTCAAACTTATAATATTCCAACCTCAACTTCCTGAATGCTTGGATTATAGGTATGCATCACCCATGCCTGACTTCTTCATCATTTTAAGAGAGGAGGGCAGATTGGGCCCTAATATCCCATCCCATGGACCTAGAAACCAAAGCCAAAAGGACTGTACAGCACTCAGCTTACAGCTAGGATGGGGCTCTCTCTGCATTTGAATGGAAGAGCCAGGGCTGGAAGGGCTGTGGATGCAGAGCTGGTTGGGACAGAGGAAATTGGGTGAAGAGGAACTTTGATACGCTGGTGAGCTCTCATATTTGCCAGGAGCCAGCCTCCCTCCTTTGTATCAACTGATAACTGCATAGAAACTTGAATCTGGGGCCTCTAATGGTTTGGGAGTCCAGGGACCTCTAAGGGAGGATTGTTTTCTTTGACCTGTCACTACCAGAATTAGCCACTAGAGAGAGAGAGGGTGTGCCTTATTTGCTGAGATATGCACAATCCAGGGCATCTCCTCAAATTGCTGGGGAGAGAAACAAGTAGAGGTAAAGCAGAGGGGTGGAGGGGGGCTGGCAACTGAGGGCAACTTTGCTTCTGAATCTGAAGGTTATTATGAAGTTGGCAGGTATACGGGAGTATATGTGTCTCTATTTGGGGTGGGGGGAGAGGCAGAGGGAAAGAATGGCTGAGTTTTTAGACACAATTTCTCCTTCTCCTCTCCTTCCATTTCATTTATTTTTTATTTTTTTTGGTTGGTCGTGGGGCCTGAACTCTGGGCCTGAGCGCTGTCCCCAAGCTCTTCATCTCAAGGCTAGTGCTCTACCACTTGAGCCACAGCGCCACT